AAAAAACGTATTGATGATTTAAATGAAGAAGCAAATCGTCTGAAATTAGGTGTTTTACGTGACGCTCAAGCACAAACTAATGCAAAAATTGAAACAATTACTGGCCAAGTCGCTATGTATGTTATTTATATACGAAGAAAAAAAAAAGAATTTCATAGAAAAATGTTTTTTTTGTTTTTGAAAATTTTTAGGTTGGGTGCTGAAGATGCTAGTCGTCTTTTAACATCAACATCTACAACAGTGATTACAACTGAAGCTAAAGCTACTGGTGAAACTCATGTTGCTGGTACAGCAGCTACTGCAAATACTACAGCTACAACTGTAGAAAAATCATCAACTTCACAATCTTCAAGTTCAGCTACAACAAAGCATTAAATAGTTGTATAAAAATGACATTTACCTTTCTTTTTTTTTTATTAATTCAAGCTGTTTTTCTCTATTCATGGTCTTTCGTTTATTGTTATTCGTTATTATTGATACTGAATAAAACATAAATAATGCAATAAATTTTTTTATTCATCAAATATAGTTCATAGGAATATATCGATGTCAATTTCTACTAAGAGCTAGTGTTTTTTTTTTATAATAAAGAATTCTTCTTTGTGTAAAAATTTGTTTTCATTTTAGCACGTGTTTTAATTTGTATGTTAAATAGATTATTCTGTAAACAATATAGATGAAAGTTTCATTGAATCAGTTTGAGTCTATTATTTTAAATATTAACTTATCTATTTTGAATAATTTCAATATTCTTTTTTATAGCAGATATAAGAAAAAAAAGTGAATATTTCCAACGAAAAACTCTATGCTTGTAATTTTGACTTATAAAAAAATGCATATATTATGAATCTTACAGCAAGATGTCTCCATTATTTAAAAAAAAGAAAATAACTTGTTGCACTCAAAAGCATGAAGCCTTTTTTTCTTCTTCCTGCTGAGATTTAGAGCCATACATGGAGTGCATTTTATTGTTCTGTATGGCGTCAGTCCGTGTTTCAATGCTAAAAAGAAAATTGACGTGTAATTTTTTTCCTCAGCTTTTTTTTGTCAACATAACATAATAGTCATGAAGAAATCTTCTCTAAATGTTGTAGATAATGAAAGAAATGATTCATAAATTTATGTACGTGAAAAATAAATGTTAGTTTTCAATGTGAAATGAGTCATTTTGATCAAAGTTATATTTCATTGACTCTTGATAATTTTGTGAAATACGTTCTATAAAAATTACAAATATCTTATACATTCACCTAACTCAAATTTGAACTTTTTGTATTCACTTTCGATATAGTTGATTACAATAATAAGAAAAAAAATCGATAATTCATTTCTCGACATTGTTCTTTTTTTAATGAATATTTCATTAATGTCAAATTAATCTATAGCATTTTAATTTTTCTCAAAAAATTTTCTTAATATTTCGAATTGGATAAAGAATTTACGCATTGTTATTTTGTGTTTAAAATCTCTATCTAGAATGATCTGAACCATTTTTTTTCAGTGATGCTGAATTTGCATGATCCATTTCAATTTTTCACACATATTCGCTAACGTATAATAGAATCGTTTTTGATAAATATCAGCAATATTTAACAGTTAAAAATTCATTTTTCAATTGTTTAATTGAAAAGTAATAAATAATTCTAATTTTTAGTTCAATGACATATGAACAGAATTATTCGGAAAAATCTAATACAATTTAATATGAGATTTCGAAATGGTTAATAAGTAATATAAAATTATAATGAATAAGACATTTATGGATTTATAGAAATGATTAACAAACATTGGTTATCACAGTTTATTCAACATAGTTTCAGTGAGTAACGAAGACTTTTCATTTGTCAAGACTGATGAAAGTATTCGAAATTCACATTATGTTCTTCTCTGTGTTATGTCAACATATATTTTATCGGTAAAAAAAAACTAATTTTTTTCACTATTTTTTATAGAGTTAAATGAAAAGCTATTACTGATATCTCTGGTATTCTCTTAACAAAACTTCATATTGATTTTTGTTCTCATAAAAAAAAATGACATGTATCAAAGCAAAGTACATGATCAAAATACTAAATAAATTAGAATCATTTGTTTCGAAATCTTAAAATTGAACATCCGAAGAGACATTTACTTGTTTGAAAAGGCCATCATTCACTGTTTTTTTCAATAAATCAATTAATACATCTACTAGTGCAAGGAATAAACAATGCTTCAGTTATTTCACCAACTTGAGCATGTTTAACAACCCGTGTGAGTTTACGATTTGTCATTGTTCATGAAGATTTTATTTTAGGCGAATATAAATACTATCAAAAACAAATTCGACTATTATATTTCACTTTTATTTTATTTATAACAAAGTTATTTATAATGTCTTCCTCATTTTTAACTGGAATAGCACGTTCACTAGGTTTTTTTTATTATTGTAAAAAGAATCTTTTATGTATTTCTTTTTCTTCATATTCTATGAATTAGTGAATAACTTTATTTGTTACTATCAATAAATCAAAATTTGTTCAACAAGCATTCTCTTTTGGTTTTGACTAAAATTTTAAGTAGGAAAAGCAATTAAGTAAAAAAAAGATTGTTTTTTGTTTTAACAACTACACCATTGTATTTCATTTTCACTTTTCATACGAGTTTTAATTAATTCTAAAATGAGTATTTGTTTATAGGAAATCATTATTCTAATTCAACAATACTTGATTCATAACAAGAATTTATTGAATTTTGTTTTTGCACGAAAGAAATATGTTCAATTTTTATTGAAGCATATAAATGACTATTATGTGAAGAAAAATAAACTAAAAGTTCAATGACTAATGGAATTTTGTTACTTTCACTAAACTTGATTTTCAACAGGTATCTATGAACAAGAACAATAATAAAATAATTTTATGATTTTTACTTTTCATATTCTATTTACATATATTGCCATTATTTCTTGTTTTCACCTCTTTCTGTGGGAAATCATTTGTAATATTATCTGATAGAAATTTATTTAAAATGAAAAAAAAAGAACATGACAATTGTTTGTTGAATATACTTTGAATTTCGTATTTGTATGCTGAAGAAAGATGCAATATTTTGAGAGACTATAGGACTTAGTTTTTTGATTTAAAATGTTTAATTTAATTATTGAATATATGCTTCAACAACTTATAATACATATATGTGAATTGAACAGAACTATTTATAAGCTATGTAAACTAATTCTTGATCTAATGTTTAATAGAACTCGGTGATATCTGAATTCGAACATAGTGAAGCTTACTCTTATTGAAAGACTAGCAATCTTCATTGATGAACTAACACATCAAGAAAATCATAAAATAAAGCAAATTTATATACTCAATAAACATAGAGCAATAACACCATGTCCAAAAACTGGAATTAATTTAAGATAAGTTCGCTTTTCCCAAACTTAGAGTTTCTATAATAATGATCGAACAGAATACAACAAATCATAGCGTGGGAAGGCGTAGGTGTGGATGAATTAGTGAATCATTTTAAATTGTCTTTCAATGTCTGTACCATCTGTTGCGTTTACACGTTATATTGCTCTAGTTAGATTGGATATAGAACTGGCATCTCGTTGATTGTGAATATCTTTGACCTTTCAATATTCTATTGAAAAGTGCAAATACAAAAGTACTATATGAAGAAAAATAGAATTCATCTCATTAAAGACTCATTTTATTAAAGTTAATATGGATATTTTTCTACAAATAAATTGTTCGAATTGACAAAAACTAAATAATCTTTTGTAGTTTTATGAGAAAAATAAGATCAATATGCATCAAACAATAGCTCATACTAAATTCTTACATGAGTAAGATTTGATGTGTTCGATATTTGACTAGGTCACTTGGTTTTAATGCTGTTTTCCATTTCTATTCTATATGAAATAACCACCTGTGTTGATGTGTTTTTTATAATAAATCTTTGTTATTTCAATGACTAGTTGTGTATATAGGATGTATTTGACTATTTCTTTTAACAAGTCGTCATGATCATAGAATATACTTTGTTGGTACCAAATATCAGCTATCATCGAGATATACTTAAGGATGAGGTATGAGTTTTTGTTTCGAATCAGACTTCAAATTAAATTGAGGACTTAATTCCGTTGTAGAATCATGTCATATATTCTAATCTACTTGACTATTCTTTTTCACAAGTACAAAAGCTTTTGACATTTTTATAAAATGAAACTCAGTGTAGTGATAATATACTTTCAGCAAATGGTTTATATCAAGCGTGATTGTTCTATCAAAAGTTGTAGTCGAAAATTCATAAAAATACAAAACAAAGGTTTTCGAATTAATTGAAAACTCACAATTTCTTAGTTTCTTTTTACATCCAATTGCAATCGATTTTGAGATCTATATTTTGCATTAAACAAAAACTTCAAGAAGAACACTCAAAACTAATCACAACTAGCATAACGATTGGGTAGAAGTCCAGTAATGTTCAATATCGGAAATATTCTAAGCTCAAAGTAGAAATATAAGAAATTAGTTTATCCCTACTTATAAAAAATGGATACCTGGTGTTGAGAATTACTGAACTTCTAGCTATTCTTCATATCAATTGTAATTAGTTTTGAGCGGTTTTTTTTGTTGGCAACTTTTCTTCTAAGTTTCGAATAAAATAATCATGATCGATACAAACAATCCATAGAAAGTACATGTCTAATAAGAAAAAAAAAATATCTTCATATTCTAAGCATTGGTGCATCCCTATGTATGTCTATCTAGATTATTTTGAATTCAATGTAACTATGTTTTAAACAAATATATTATTGTCAGTATATTTCATTTTATAGAAATTATTAAACTTGTAAAGCAACAAAATACAATTTTATATTTTATTTTTAATACATTTAATTTTTATTTGCGTGAAATGAGATGTGTTCTCTTTAATTATTTGTTAAAAAAATAGCACCCTAATGAAATAAATATAACATCGATCACCAAAATAATAAATAAAAATAAAAATTAAACAAAAACAAATTTATGTGTTTTAGATAAATTCAAAGATAATGTTTTTAAATTTAGAATATTTGTATTTGTATCAAATGTCCATTTGTCTGTTGATAAATCTAATCCATTCAAAATAATTCTTGTTGGTTGTTTTGTTATACCATATATGATAATATCTTCTAATTTATTATCCATTTCTGGATATTTAAATGTCCATGGTTCAATTGTTAAACGTTGTGCATCATAATTAAATATAAAATAATTATAATGTGATGTTTCATATGTATCAATTGATTCTCCATCATCCCAAAACATATCACCTTGTGCTCTTTGATTTTTATCAAGAGCAATATATAAATAAAATGGTTTTCGACGTGATAAAACAGTATTCATAGCTGATTGTTGATGAGGTATAATTGAACCACCACGTAAATATAATGGAACATATTCTCTTGGTGCTTGTTCAGTAATTAAACCAAGTATTTTTATTTCATTACCTGTATAATAATTAAACCATCGTTCATTTGTTGGTAAATAAACATTTTTTGTTGTATGACCTTCATAAATAACTGGAGCTATTAATAAATATGAACCCCATAAAAATTGTTCATCTAATGGCCAACATGATGGATTTGTTGGAAATTCATGTGCCATTGAACGAACAACAGTTCCACCTGATATATGTACACGATGAAAAAGTGTATATAAATATGGTATTAATGTATAACGTGTTTCAACAACATGACGATTTGATTGAACAATATGTGATGGAAAATTTCCTGGATCTTGATCAGTATATCTTAAACCATTATGATTACGAAAAAATGGATTAAATGCACCTAATTGCATCCAACGTTGACACATTTCTTCTGTTGTATTTCCTTCAAAACCACAAATATCAGCACCAACATATGGTATACCAAATAAATTAAATTCAAGCATTCCAATTATATTATATTTCAAATGTGACCATGCTGCTGTATTATCACCTAACCAATGACCAGAATATGAACCTGATGTTGGAAATGTTGAACGACTTATAACTAATGAACGTTTATTATCTGTTGCACGAGCTGCTGGTAATGTTGCAACTGTTTCTGACCATCCATATAAATTATGTACATCATATTGTTTATAAATTTTTCCTCGACCATCACTTTGTTCACCAATCATACAAAGAGTTTTATCGGATAAATAATCACCAAATATAACAGTTTTATATTGAGGAGATTCTAAAGGTTCATCAAGTGGACAATGAAGATTCCATGGTGTAGGATGTGGCCAATTCCATGGTTGTAATTTATTTGTATCGAAATTAGCTGGTTCACTAAAATTTATAAATAAGAAAAAGAAAAGAATGAATGATAAAACATGTGTTGATTTCTTTTTTTTTGTTATTACTTCATATCAATCCATAAACCATCAAATTTAAGTTTTTTATAATAATTTAATATTTGATTTTTCCACCATTCTTTAGCTGGAGGATAGAAATAATCAGGAAATACTGTCTTACCTAAAATCAATTAAATAACAATCATATATGTTTTCATATTGAATGAAGAACAGATCATTTTTTTTTCTTTTATAGCAATACAAAATCAAATTGCTCATTATGAAACAATATGTTCACATGCAATAACGCTCTAGTCATTTATTCATGAATATACAGATGTTACTAATTTCATGAAAAGAAAAAAGAGTATTGCAAGAACAGTCGCCTGTCAAGTCCAAATTTTTCGGACATGAACTCTATTCATGAGTAGCTATGGAAGCGATCGTTTTCGAGCATCAGAAGACGTTGTTGAAATTATTTCTAACAATACCATCGTAAAGAGCATAAAACTTCCAACGAAAAAAAGGATTGCTACGTTTTATATGACTTTCACTTAAAACAGATAAAAGCAACACAAAAGTCGAAAAAAACTTTTTTTGGTCTTGTTTTTTTTTTTTTAAATAAATTTTATTAATTTTTGGTTTTTGCTCTGTCTTGAACTTTTTAAGAGGAGACTCTAGAAAATGCGATAACTCTTCATTCGATGAGGACTTTACGTTCTTGACGATGACATTGTGAAAAATAGCTCCGAGAAAATCTTCTTAGAAATCTTACTATATAGTGAAATTAAAGTAGATGCTTAACATTATGAAAAAAAAAGAAATTAAAAATACGTTGTTGTTAAACTTTTTTTTTTCATGATTATATATAAAACGAGTGATTGATATTAAACAACTTTCAACTTTCGATATTGTTCTCTCATCAAAGATAATCTTGTGTTAATTCTTTATCAGATCAATTGAATATGTTCGTATAGAATAATTATTTTTTATATAATCATATTTGACTTGAAAAAACCTAAACTTACCAATAGGCCATACATATCCAACCATATTTCTATTTTTTGTTTCATTAAATTGAAGATTTTTATTTTGAGGCCATTTAACCCAAATATCATCTTTTTGTCCTTCTATAAAAACATCATAATTTGGTTCTTCAGAATCAATAGCTGGATCAAGAATTGTAATAAATCTCATTCCTTGTGTATGTAACCAATCAACATATTCAGGTAAACCATTAAAACGAATTGGATCCCAAGTAAAATCAAGTTGATTTCGAAAATAATCAATATCACCATACCTTAAAACAATAAAAATAAAATAAACATTGAAAAAAAAAAATTTTTTTCTTACATAACATCAAGTGGAATATGTCCATCTAAAGTTCTTTGCATAGCTGCACGCATATTCTCAAGTGTATCATAACCATAACGACAAAGTTGAAAACCTAATGCCCAATATGGTGGCATATAAGGATGACCAATAACAGTTTGATATTGTCTAATAACATCTTCGGGACGTGGTCCAGCAAAAAATATTATATCTAATATACCTCCAAGTGTTCTATATGTAAGCATAGATTGATTATCTTCAAATTCATCTAATTTATAATCTTGTGCATTTGAATTAAATATTAAAATACCAAATGTTTGTCCATCATCTTCAATAGCAATATAAAATGGTTGTGTACCATATAAATTTTCATTTTTTCCTTGTGGTGGTTGATCACGAGCAAATATACCATAACGAGCTGAATTTTGAAGAATATGTCGAAATGTTGGATGAGTATTTTCACCAAAACCATAAACATTTCTTGATGGAATTGTTGTTATTAATTGAATATATTTATTATCATAAATAAAACCTTCAGCAAAAAATGATGTATCAAATATAATTGATTGTGTATCTGTACGTTTAACACGAAAACCAATTTGTTCATTTGTTGTTTTTGTCATTTCAAATTTTATTTTAGTTTTAATAGATGATGATGGTAATGATGCTTGCCATCGTATTGGTACAGGAACTTCATAACGTTGTTTATCAGCATCACGAATTGTTAAACGTATCATATCAGGACCTGATACACTTACTTGAACATTTAAATGATCAATATCTTCACCATATAATGAAAATTCATTTGATTGAGTTGTTACAAGTTGTTTTACATTTGATATTGATTCATTCAATTGAATATGACTATGTGGATTTGCTCGATCACGAAGAGGTTTTGTTGATAAACGTGATAATGAATAAGATGTAACAGCATCTGTTAAATGTGTTGGTGTATCATGTTGACCATATCCACCTTTTTCTTTTGGTATATAACAAGATGGATAACCAGCTTCACTTGCAACATTCCAAGTACATCCACGAGCTTCACAAGCATTACTTATAGCACCTAAATATAGAACGGAATATCATTTAAAAGATAATTCAACTATTTATATTGTATAGAATATAGTTTTAGTTATATATATTTTAATTTATAAATAATAAAGTGCTATTCTACATTGATTTATTGTAATTAAAGATGATTTAATATTAGTGACATTTCTGGGTCTGATCTTGCATTTCTATAAATCTTACATGACTAGATTATCGAAGATAAATTCTTTAAAATATGTTTCTGTTTAAAATTGAAAGTGTCAAAGTCCCTTCAAAGAGACAAAAGTATAAGATATGTTGTTAAAATTTTAATTGATACCGTCCGAACACTGAAGAGTATCTTACATCTTCGTGTTTTATGTCGATCGCATATTCTGAAATAGTATATACCAATTAACTATCTTCAAACGTTAACAGGACCAAATTAGCAAAAGGTGCATATGGTTACAAATTTTTCTGAAAATCAAATTTTCAAATGAAAAATTATAGTTTGTTGCGTGACTAAAATCATGTTCTGGTGATTTTCGAAAAATTTTACAATATATTCTCTAGAAAAAAAATAGACATCCTAACTTAGTCCTAGTTGTTACAATAAAAAAAAGTCAGCTATAGAAACAAAATAAATTATGACTGTTTCTAGGCGAAGGAAAGTTTCGCTGTACTGATCAAGATAGATCTATCTACCATGAAATTTTGCGTAATTATTTCAGAAAATTTTACTCACAAGGAGTCAGAGAACTCTAAAATAAAAGAGTTTCTAACTACAACCTTCAACTATAATGCCATTAGACTTTATATTTTCGTCTGGCATATCTTTCAATATCTTTTTTTCTGTAGCTATTATCTGTATATATATATGAATTTATTTTACAGTTCGTTTGCTAATTACTTAAACTACATGTCAAGAGATTCTAAACATAGTAACAATTGTATTTTACATAAATGTTTATATTTACCTAAATCCGGATAACAATCTACTCTATATTTAGGTTCAGTTATAACAGCTGGTGGTGGTTCAATAATTGGTGTTCCTGTTGTTGCCCATATTAATGTAAGACTTTGACTCATAGGTAAATGTAAAGCAGGCACATCAATAATTTGTGTATTTGGTCTTGTTTTTGGTTGAAATTGTTGATCATTAAGATAAAATGCAGTTGGAGTATAATCTAATCCATAAATAGTTAATGAATCTAATATTAAATTTGACATTTGTGGATAATTATTTTCAACAACATTTATTATTAATCGATTTTCTGATGTTGACCATTTATATGTTGCATAATAATATGATTTTGAACCAATTGTATCAATTGATTCACCATCATCATAAAAAAGATCTCCTTCAGCATTACCATTAGCATTTAAAACAATTATTAAACCAAATGGTTTTTCTCTTTTTTTTTTTAACAAAAAAAAAAAAAAAAATTATTATTAAATTAAACATAAGAAGAAGAAAAAAAAAGAAGTTCTTTGATAATTTACCTCGAATATCTTGTATTATTAGCAAATTCTTGTGTTGGAATAATAGCTCCACCTCGTAATAAAATTGGAATTGTATTTAATGGTGCTGATAATGTAATAAATTGTTTTTGAGATGAAATTCGTACACCTGAATAATAATTATACCAATGTGAAGATGGAATATAAACTTGAACTTGTCTTGCACCATCATCTGTAACTGGAGCTATCATTATATGAGGTCCAATTAAAAATTGAAGAAATATATCTAATGTTGTTTTATCAGTTGGATATTCATGAAATAATGGTCGAATTACAGTTGAACCTTGTGTATGTGATTTATAAAATAATGTATAATAATATGGAAGTAATGTATAACGAATACGAAGTGCTGTAATCATTGTTGAAACAGCTGATGATGACCAAGCAGCTGGATCTTGATCTGGTGTTTTCCATATATTATGCTAAATTTAATAAATTAATTTAAATTAAAAAAAAAAAAACAAAACATTTATGAAAGAAAAAAAAACTTACATTTCGAGAAAATGGATAAAAAGCTCCGACTTGCATCCAACTATAAACATAAAAAATGATTTTAAAGAACACAAAAAAAAAAAACAAAATATATTCTTTACCGAATACACATTTCTTCTGAAGGTGTTTTATCAAAACCACAAATATCTGCACCATTAAATGGTATACCAAACCAATTAAATTCTACCATACCAATTAAAGATCTTTTCATTTCATGCCATGTTGCTTCATTATCTCCAAGCCAATGACCAGACCATTGACCAGAACCAACAAATGTAGAACGTGGTAAAACTAAACTTCGTTTACCAGTTATTTCTCTCATAACATCTAATGTTGGTTTTGTTTGACTCCATCCATAAAGACTAAAACAAAAATAAAATAATAAATAAATTAATAATCAAAATCAAATTTGTTTTACCTATGAACATCATAATGACGATATTTTGGTTTATTTGTTTCTGAATCAATTTCACCTTGTAATGCTGTCATACATAAAGTATGATCTGATAAACGACTTGCTCGTGCAAGTTTTTGATCCCAACGATATACAGCTTTGGGACGATAGGGTGGATCATCCCATTGATTTGAACTACATTTCAATGTATAATTACTTCCTGTATCCATCCAATTCCATGGTATTGCTTCATTTGTATCAAATAAAGCTATAATATTGATAGATAAATTAGTAAACAAAGAAAAAAAAAAACAATCATAATTAATTATTACCAGGTTCATTCATATCAATCCAAAGTCCATCAAATGATACATTAACACGATGAAAATCTTTAATTAATCTTGACCACCAATCTTGTGCTCGTTTAGTAAAGAAATCTATATTGATAAATCAACTTATTTTTTTAATCTTTTATAGGAGAAAAGAAACTATTAACCTGGAAAAAAGACATCACCTGGCCAACATGAACCTTTCATTGGTGTTTGTCCATCATCTGATTTAACAAAAACATTTTCTCTCATACCATCAATAGTTGGTGTATAATATATTTGATCATCAATTGTACCCGGATCCAAAATAATAATTGTTCGTACACCTTCACTATTTAATTGAGCAAAATATTCTTTTAAACCTTTATAATTAATTGGATCAATTGTAAAATCTTTTGCAGCCTCCATATAATCAATATCAGCATATTGAACATCAAGTGGAATACCAGCATCTCGATTTCGTTTAACAATATTTTGCATATGAGTTAAATTAGAATATCCCCAACGTGAAAGTTGAAAACCAAATGACCAATATGGTGGTAATATTGAACGACCAACAAGCCATGTATATTGTTGAACAACTTGTTCTGGTGTTGGACCAAGAAAAACAAAAAAATCTAAAATACCACCAATGGTTCGAATAGTTACTGAAGGTGTTTTATCAAATGAATAATCCATAGCATTTGAATTAAGTAAAAGAACACCATGCATACGACCAGATGGAGCTTGATTAGAATTCATTAATTGCTCCATAACAAGATAAAATGGTTGAGTACCATAATGATTTGAATTTGTATCCCAATTTGTTCCTAAAAAACAAAAAAAAAACTTTTTTTTTCCAGCATCCTCACAAAATCAAGAAATCGAGAATTTCAAATCTCTCTCTCTAGGTTCTTTTTATAACAGACATATAGTGTCTGTAAAGACTCAAACCTATACACATATATAAAAAGGAGTCGTTTTTTTTTCTCTGCATAACAAACCTTGATCACGAGCAAATATTCCCCATGATTTTTTCTCTTGAACATTATGTTTAAGTGTATCATGATTATTTTCACCAAAACCATAAACATGTGGTGATTGAAGTCGAGTAACTATTTGAAGAAATTGATCGTTCAAAACAAGACCACCGAGTGATGTATCAAATAAAACTGCTTTATCAATTCGACGTTTTATTGAAAATGAAAGAATATTATCATGTGAACTATCCGACGAATAGCCAAATTCATATTGTGGGGAAGATACTTGATCGGAAGCAGATGACAATGGTATTGGTACCTAAATCAATTAGAACTTTCTAAGAAATTTTATATAGACAATGGTACGAACATCTAAGTGTACAGTTCATATTTGCTTTTCATTTTTTTTAGCTTCCAATGAACAATAAGTAGGAGTTAAATGTAATTATACACATGTAGAATTTTATACTCTTTCAATATAGATATTTAATCATTTTTTACTTAACTAAAATTGTTTATCTGTTAGCAAATTTCGAAAAACATTCTAATACTTACTTTTTGCTTGAAATAACACATTAGAAAAGTCATTTTTCGAATAATTTGTAGACTAAATTTTCATCTGGAAACTGAAGTATGAAACAGTTTTTTATTTTTTAAAGGATTTAATTCTTTTGTTTTTTAAACAAACTTCAATAAAAGTAAAAATCTTTATCAACATTATCTTTTGAGTTGTACAAACAATCGTTTACATTGAAGCAATCTTAAATGACAAAAAAAAAAAGCGTTCAATCTATGTACAGTGAACAAGTATAGATTTCTGAATCTAAATAATTATTTGTTGCTTGTTAGGAACAGAGAAAGCTTGTCATTAAAATCTCTTTGAGAAGACAATAGTTGCTTCTCAACAATAATCGATATTTAGAAAATGTTTTATCTTACTCACAGTCAAAAGATAGATTCAAATGGCATGCTACACTTGGATATATGTATCCTCGTAAGACTTTCACATCATAAATAAGTTTTCTTCTTACTTCATATCGTTTTTTGTCAGCATCGTATAATTTAAATCTGATAATATCGTTAGTATAATATTGAACTTCAAGTAAAACATTTTCGATAGGTTGTTGAAACATACTACCTACTGCTGAATTTCGTTTTAATTTTAATTTTAAACCATTATTTATTTGTTCTGGAGAACCTTGTAATATATAACCATAGTTTGGTGATAAATAGCATTGTGTAATACCAGGAGCAACTCCATCATCAAATAAACAATTTCTATCTAAACATGATTGTTTTGAATAACCTGAAAATCGTGATTCAGCTTCAGGAAAACAATCAATACGTTGTTCTGTTTGTCTTGATTGTTGTCGTTTTGATAACAATTTACGAGCAGATGTAGTTGTTATGATCACAACAAGAATTATAACAACAGTAAATTTTACAGAGAATCTAATCCTTCGCATCCTACGATGCCAACGTAATAACTATATTACGAACAAAAAAAAAAAAAA